ATTTAAATAATATTTTATAAAAGTAATTTTATGAACTTAACATTAGATTAACATTGACAAAAAGTAAGTAAACTTTATGAAGTGCTTATTAAAATAATAAAATGTAGCCAATTTCAATAGAAATAGAAGTAACGGAATTTCGTGTAGTACATATACAAATTTAACTATTAAAATTTCATATAAAATTTATTCTAGTATATATTGAAAATACAGAAATTAAAAAATAATTTACCTAATATTTTGTTTTCTCGTTTGCAATCACACTGATAACAAATCAAGAGCACATTTATCACGAATTGTCCACTTAATAAATTATTTATTTTCTTTGTTAATTATTACAATTGTTTTTGTAAAATTTCGTAAGGTATACGACGACGACGTTGAAGTTCATTCAATACACTTGGACGCATTTAAACGCACTAACTAACAAACGATTTGACTTGATGTTGGCCAAATTGCAAATATAAATAAACACATTCGAATTGGCCGGAGAGGAGGCGACACACAGTCTATATTGAGGTTCAAAGAGGATTGTTTTCATTGTTTACGGTTCTATTTCTTCTTCTAAATATATAAACTACAGTTTCTGCTATTGTTAATTCAATTGTTGTATTGTGCAACATCTGCAAAGGACAGTAGAACTATCGTGTCCTGGGATAAATAAATCCTTGGACACCGTGGATTATCTCGTAGTTATGTCGTTGTGGAGTCTTAGAGGGGTTTATGAATATTAAATGCAATATTCTTAATTAACTTTATTATACACATCGGAGTTTTATTGATAAGTCAACTATACAATAGTTGATCTCATGGATTATTACTAAGAGTTCCATTTTCCTGTAAAGTTAGTATTTATGAAGTAAGTGCTCTTCCTTGGACTCTCCAAGTAAGACCAACTTCTCAGTTCGACCCCTTAGCTAAGACTTCCTCTCAGTTCGGTCCCCTGACTAAGACAAATAAATAGGGTTTGACATGGTGGAAAATACAATCGTTTCTTTATCTAACCCAAATATTTAGGAGCTGAAGACGGCTGTTGAGTGGTGATAAAATAAACTATTTAATGTGTAACCGTCGTTCGGAATATACCACAAGTTATTCTAAACAATCACGTACAAGTATCCGTTTGCATATTTGATGGATACGTTAAATATGATTTGTAATAATTAAGAGAAAAGTGGTAGACCTAACAAATATACATATTAGTTACACAATAGATGACAACAAAATGGTCGGCCACGACAAAACCTTTCTGGAGAAACACTCGGATTTCTCATATTTTGTTAGTTTTTACTAACACTTTTATTATTTTAAGTTAGTCCTAGTAATAGTTCTAGCCACGTCTCAGCTAAACTCATATTGTGTAACTCTTGAATAGCAACCTATCCATGTTAGAAAGTGGAAGCTAGATTAAGAACTCAATCATCTAAAGACTCCACGTCGACAAAACTACAAATTATTCCAGTGTCATGAGATATTCCATCCCGACACAATAATTATTTTAATTAACTTCTTGATGATAATATTTGTAACAATAGACATTTGTCCATAACTAATGAAAACAATATCCAAAATAATGGTAAGTGGATATAGTAACGTGATAACCCGCTAGATGGTGTTAGCATTTGATAATTCCTGAAAGTAGATTATTTGGTTACTTAAAGTGATTGATGTCCAAAGAAGACTGTTTTTAGATCTAATTAAAAAATTCCAGCAACGCCACACAACTAGAACCTAGATCCAATAATATCAAGTCATCCCCTCATAAAAACTATCCCACAAGAAGCAAGAACCAATTAAAATGAACACACAAATACAATAAATAAAACCAAAAATATCCAAAACCTAAATGAAATGATAAACTAACTCATAACACGAAATAACGAATGTAAAGCTAAAAAATTAACCACTGATTTTTTTTTTAGACAATAGAACAAAGCTCGCAAACTAACTGTAAAATCAAATGAATCTAACTTAAAACAATACAAGAAAATGAAAACTGTAGAAAAATACTGAAAGCTTTTTATACTTCAGCTTAGCAGCTGCATACGGATCTTAAAATCGATGTAAATATTTGTTTGACAGATAAAATCTGGTTTAACCCATTGACTTTGTATGTCAAAACAAATGCTTTTTACGCATTTTTTTAATGTTGTTTTTCTTACAGTTTCTTAAAGTCATCATTCAGTATTTGTTTGTGGACAGAAAAAGTAGAAGTAGTAGAATTTGACTCGAATCTTCTCAAAACCAAAGTTTACAGTAATTCTTTTAATGTTTGGAATAAACGATAATTTTATTTATGTGAACAATAAGTCATTTACTCAAGGTGGATATTTAACTGGTTCCAGTATTAATTTGTAAATTATTTTCCATTGATAATTCTGAACTTTTCCCTAGTATTCTAAAATTTATTTCTAATTGCTCCCTCTTAGCCTGAATGTATTCTTTTCAGGTGAGTTTTCTGTCTAGATGCATGCCTAGATATTTGCCTTTTGTTGATTTGAGCAGATCTTGTCCATTATGTCCTACAGTTGGGCAGGTGTCTTGTTCCTGTAGCTTCTCTAAAATTTCCTGTAGATATTCAAATGCTACTGATGAGGTCAAGATTATGTCAATAGCAAACAAATATTTTCCTAAAGATTCTTAATATAAATTTTCGAGAATAAGGACTGTCTATGAGAATCAATATGCTTTTGGGACCAGGAGCCACGTACAAAAAGTAAAGAACATATCGATTATGAAACGTAATGTGGTGGTTGGGTTGCCAGAGGATTGCATCAAATCGTTTAATAAACCATTTAACGGATTCGGCTTGCTGGCTGACAACGAATCGCATCGGATCCTTTCCGCAAAAGTTCCGGTTCTGCTGCAGCGTCGTCGCCGTCGTCGTCGGTGACGGGGGAGGGGGCGGACGAGAGGCGTTCTGGCGTCGCGACGCTCTTCAAAAATAGAACGCGCGCACGCCTTGTGTTCGCTAATGACGTAACGACGGTGACGTCGTCGTCATGCGGCTGTTGCTGTTGATTTTCCATCGTCCGCTCACTATTTTTATTATTATAACGTAATTTTCCTTCTGCATGCAGCTGCCCGTGCGTACGTCGCATTATCTAATCACACCAGCAAAATAAACCGCTCGGAGCTAACAAGACGAAAGAAAGAGAGAAACACCGTGACTGAAAGAGAGAGAGAACCACATCACTCAAAATAATCGTTGAGTGGGTGTCAACGTGTTTTTTGCATCATTTATTTTACTTCTTTATCTGTGCGAACTAAAATACACATTCCTCCTGTCTTCGTCTAGGGTGTATTGCGCTAATCCGAACAATGAACTTTTCCTGATAGCATTGATAATTACGTCTGCAAAGAAAAAAAATTTTTTTGGACTGCGCAGTATTATAACATGTATTCAAAGTAACATTTATAACACGCCAACATGTCCGCTAAAAAACCTAATTTCATTTTCACTATCCACACATCGCGTTTTACTGTAATTATATTCCCAATTGGATATTTTCTCTATTTTTTTTTACTTCCACTTTAATCATTGAAAAACGCTACAAACGATACAACAATGTCTGAAGATAGATTCACTGTTGTGTATTGGAACTAAATACAGTGCAACCTCGCATAACGAGTGTTTTGCTTAATGGTCAAAGCAAATCGTAACAACGTAAAATGTAATTGTACCGTGTAAAAACAAGTTTGAGTGTACATATAATAAATAAACCACATAAAATGAGACTTAACTGTATCTTTATGTATTATGTTTGTCTATTTGAAAATTTGGATTTGTACTTATGTTTTATATATTGGCTTAATAGGAAAGTTTATACCGATTTTTTCAAAGGCAAAACTTATTGATTTATTGTATATATACAATTTTGATCTACAACCTTTCCCTATATTTCATGCAACTTGTAGATTTCTCAAACTTTTAGGTGTAAAACTTTTCAAGGTGTTTTTTTACGTCGACTAAAGAGTTAAAGTTTTGGCCTTTAAAGTCCAATTTTCAGTAAGAAGCGCTACCCCAACATCTCAACTGATCTGACCTACTTATTCTGGTCGTTTTTTCTTGAATCGCTGATTTTAATTCGTCTAGTTACGCATAACACTTGTCTGAATTTATCGATTTCTTATTTGTTTGGATATTTTAATACAACGAAGAACGGTAATAGTGGTTCATCTCGCTTATGATGTTTTTTGATATTTTTAATATTTCCATAAATTCACGTGTATTACAGTCACTAGCAGATGGTCTTCTTGGCCTTTAATGTTGTTGATATCACCAGCTCTAAATGTAAAAAAAAACAATTACGCGAAGTTCTTTCAGTAAAACCACGTTCCTCGTAAAGAGCACATATCTTATTTATTGTTTCTGTGACTTTTTATCTTTCCGGTAATGCTTTTGATGTTTTTCAATCATCTTACCAAATGAATTGTATCATTCATTTTAAATTCATTGGTAATATGTAAGGTTTATACAAAAACTGACTTAAAAAAAACCGGTTTTCGATTTTTTTCGGGTATTCCAAGATTTCTTACAACTAGATAATTACGTTATTTTCTCGGTTATTGCAGCGCCTTCCATGAAATGTATTCGTTTCCCACACAGAAAGTTGAAAGTTAACACTCGAAAAGCAGTGTTTTCACGTTTTGGTGTATTACAAGACAACCAATCGTGCTAATTATACTTTAACTAAAGCCAAATGATCAGAATTCAATTTGAATATATTTGTTTCTAATGCCGTTTTCTTGTAATTTGCTCTCAAAGATGAAAAAAACGTTTTTTGAGGTAAAATTTGTATTGTGTGTAAATTTCTTAGTTGTTAATAGTTACATACATATAGTAAGGACTAATTTTTATATTTTAAATGCTCAAAAACAGGTTAGTTGAATAAAAACCGGTATTATTTAAATATCTTAAAAAAAATGGTTTTAAGAAACCTAGTAATATACATTTCGAAAAATTTATAAACAAAGTTTTCAATAGTTTCTGAACTTACCATCTTTCCTGTAATATAAGATTTCGGCGTGCTTTTCGATGCCTTCGGTGAGGGCCTCGCGGAGTCCTGCGACCGATTGCTGGGACGTCAATGGGCCGCACAGGAACTCGCAGGAGGCAGGTCGTTGCATAACTTCCGCCCGTGAGTATCCTGTCAGACGGCAAAAGCCATCCGAGCAGTAGATTATGTGGCATTGTCCTTCGCGTGTGTTCGCCACCAAAAACGAACGATCTGAAAGCAAAAAAAACAATCAATTTTAACATCAGAAATAATACGTGATCAATCATTATATTATATAATATTATAATATTAATATGCATTATGTAACTACATACACGATTAGCTGTGTATTACGTAATTGAAGTAAATTAAATTACTTTTTGATGACAAGAAGTGAGTATAACTATACTTAAAATTAAATTAATTAACACAACTGGAGTTTTTGAAATTTCGTTTAGAATTACCTGTATACAAAGTATAAAAAGTACATAAAACGTTTCTAAATAAAAGAAAATATTTTGTTCACTATCCAATTGACTAAAATCTCATTATATATTAAGATACATGTTTCTTTTAAACGGTCATTTAGACACTAACGGTAGGAATAGGTTTAGTGTTAAACCCAATAAAAACAAAACTCAATCACTATATCGTGTCCAGGGATACCAACGGATTATAGCAGAAGAGCTCAAGACATTAATTTATAATTGCCACATTTTGGGAATCAAGCTTTTTGTACATAAATATTGAATGACATACAAACAAGCATGAAGTTGCGTCAGGTGTATTTAAGTATTACTATTAATCAATTAAGTGCGTGTTTTAACCATATAGTCTAGACATATTCGCAATTCGTTTCGTGGACGTCTCCTGCGTACACGATTCGACCTAAATTATATACCTCCATGCGTTTTACGACAGATGCACGTCGATATTTTATGCTTTTGTAATTTACATATCAATATATTTCTGTTGTTTCATAGAAAATCAACAGAAATAATAATAATAATAATAAGGTTATTCTAGAAACGTCGATTCTATTAAAAGATTTAAAGTAATATTGCCATTGTAAATTATCTCTCGTTAAAATCCAATGCCATCTTTCAGCGGATTCAATTAAACAGTAAATGAGTGCAATGCTTGGATGGAAAAGTTAAATTTATACAAGAAATTATCAAATATAGATTGTAATAAAGCCAATGGTGAAATCACTGTTCTATATTTATTTTCCATTCATGAAAAAAACGATCGTAATTCTGCATTCACTCCTGATACGAGTCATGAATTGCACATTATACATAAAATAATACACCAAACGGTGATAATTAAAGTATAATAAAACCTCGATACAAAAAAACTAATTACATTAAATCCAAAAGTACTTTATGCAATAAAGTAGGGCATAAAGACTTCGGCATATTTTCGTAATGCGTTCGTTAAAAGCTTGGTTTAAAGCATTTTAAAATTAGTAGGGTGTTAATTTTAACACATTGAGTTTTGGTTGCTGGGTCAACATTTCATCTATTCAACTTCAACATTGTTTTAAAGATTGAAAAATCATTACAAATGCCAATTACTGTAGTATATTGTGAATTTGTTTATTTTAATTTGGTATTATTCTACGTGTCAATGTAGCCAACATGAGGCATTATCTATTTGTTATTTAAAGTTTGCGTTACAATAATGGAATAACGCTATAATTATTAATATTTTAACTTATGGTATGTTTTATTCATAATCATTTTTTTTTAATTTATAGAAGATATTCAGAAGTTTATAAACGTCATTTTCAAGTAGATGTAAGACTTAAGAGAGCAGTTTCATACCAACATTATGTATTTAGCAATTGAAGTTGATTAACTTAGTAGTATTAATCAATTTACCGGTCAGAACAATTGAATGATGTTACACCTTTTTACGTGTGGCACCTTTTGTTCATGATGTTTTTTTTTCTAATTTTTGGTAAAAATTCAGAAGTAGATGAATTTTATTTCCAATTGGTTATCAGACTTGTAAAGGTATCTTGTTGCAGCAATTGAATAATGCTATATTATTTAAAGTCATCTTTAGTTGGTATTCTCATAATAAATTCATAAATTGATGAACTTTTGTTTTAAAGTGGATGTCAAACTTAGAAAGCAAGTTTCCTACCAACATCGAAAATTTGCAATATGAATTCACGGAGATTGAAAGAACTAATATAGTTATTTTAAGAAAACCGATTCCATTAAATGATTGAAATAGCATCGAAAATTATCTATCGTTAAAATCGAATTCTATTTTGCGGCGGATGCAATTAAAGAGTAAATGGGACGGGGACGTGGGTGGAAAACGACGGCGGCGGCCGACGACGATATGTGATGTGATGTTTTCAGCCGCATTGCCGTTGATTGTGTGACATGAATGTAGTGGCACTTATAGTGGCATAGAGCTCCGGAACATGTGGCTAGGTCACAGGAGGTTTTCCTCGCCTCAGCAATCAATGATACTACTAAAATCAATGGAGGCTTGTGCACTTTTACGCATTAACTATAGTTGTCGCATGGTGCGGCACTGAGCAGACGGCGGCAGAGGCGACGGCGATATCACGGGAGGAGGTTCCAAGTAATTAAGGAGACACCAACCGCACATGACTCCGCTACCGCCTCCGCCCTTTCCTCTCTATTTTATTTAATATTCGATGCGCTGCATTCACGCTGAAATCGCGTGTCCGAAACAATCCTGTTTATTTCATACGTCCATGTGGCTACGAGGTGACCGTCGCTGCCGCCGCCACCACCACCGTTCCTTCGATCCCTGCATATATTCTACATATACGTTCATTCTACGTGTGTTTCCATATGTGTAAGTGTGTAAATGAACGCGATAAGGTTTGTCATTTGTCACGCGGCCCGAACTAAAACTGAATCGATCTGACACAACACAACACACACACACACATTCTTAGGAACATTTCACGCTACACTGTGTTTGCGTTGGTACAATTGTCGTCGCATTGTCCCAGACTGCGGAAGAGAGTGGAGGCGCCGGGCTTCTTCGCCCAAAGTAAAAGCTTATATACGACAATTGCTAATACTTCATCCTTATAACATTTTTTTTCCTTATACATATATAGAACATGGTTTTCTATTTTTTAAGTTTTGATGGAAATCAAAATATTTTGTAGTGTTGGTTCAGGGGACATTCAATTCCTTGTTAATTAATTCTTCGTTATGTGAACTATTTTCCACTACGTCAATACCAACGTTAAAAAAATAAAGTATAAAACTTGCACACGCAACAACTGTAGACCATTCTAATGCACAGCTATATTAATTAAATTGTACTTAGACACATACATATACATATCAAAAGAATAATAGAAATCTTTTGTGAACGTGAAACAAACGGAAGTAAACATTTGAAATAATTCCGAGTGGTTCCGATCGTCTTGAGTTCAACCGATTCGTTCTAAAAATCACTAAAAAAAATCTTCTTCTCTTCAAACACATTGGCTAGAAAATAATACCAACTGTTTTATTGTCAAAATTGCCTTATTCTGTGTAGGTTTACGATTTATATACAATGGCAAATATACATTCTTTTACTTATTGTTTAATAATTACTTTATAATTTGATTAAAATTAATGTTCTTTAAATGTTTCCAAATTATTATTAAAAGATTACAGATAATTGTAAATTTGTTAAAGAAAATACAAATTACTTAATTAAAAGTCATCTCCAGATAATTGTGGATTCTAGATCCTTATAATAACTAGGATGTAAATTTGGATCCATATTCGGAATGAGTATCTTCTTCACAACGTAAACCAATGATAGTAAAACTCAACTACATTTAAAACAACATTAAACTAATTCATTAACTACTAATTAGAGTACTTACAATCATTTATTTAAGAGTAGTAAAATTTCTTGCAGTTTCTACCAGTTCTACTTACTTCCTTTATTTTATGACATCACTTCTTGACAGTTTTGTTTATAACATAACTACCAACTTAAAAGAGGAATTTAACTACTTGACTATATAGTGCAACTATTTTAAGTCCCACCATCTGTTTGTAATGTCTACCAACTTTAATAACAAATTAGACTGAAAAACATATCAGAAATAGGAATTTAAAATAACTTGAAATAAAATGATCATCCTTTAAAATTGTTATAATTCTTATAAAAAAATTAAATAAATATTTGTAAAGTAAAGGTGTTTAAACCTCTGCGCTCATAGTTTTAAATTAATGATTTCCTGGATGTTATAAATTACACTCGAAGCCCAATTACTAGAGACTTAATATATAAGCTCCAATAATGTGTGCCGGCTCTTCGATATAAATTGTGCACCTTCATTATGATGGTATTACACCAATTTTCTCGTACAACGAAGACTCTTCGATAATAACATAAACAACGAACAGCTGTTTCCACTATCTACCCATCATATACTTATCATATCTAGTTTAAAATGCTTAAATATCTAGTTTAAGAGTTAAAGATTACCATAAATTCTATTGGTAATAAATATGAACCGGTAATTTTACCATGTGTACCAACTTATAATAATTGGTATTACCATATTAAGTTTTGTTGGTAAACTAAGAATTTTATTCATGAAAGCTTCTTATATATTTGAGAAGCTATGTACAAAACAAGTAGTTTTTTTTGGATAATTAAGTTGGATAAAGTTCGAATATAATTGAAGCTATTTACTTCAGTTCTCGCAACCCTAAAGCGATTTCCCCTTAATTGCACCACCGCCTAATCCATTTCCGCTAACTTACATTCCTTATAATTCCCATCATCCATTAACGAAGTTCACCATAACGCGAAATTGATTTAGTTCATCAGTACATGGACCTTCCATATTCATAACATGATTTGTTTAAGGTAATGTGGGACAATTGATCTAAGGCATTTTAATTTAGTTACTTAGCTATGAACTTGATTTGAAGCAGAATTATATAATAATTATGTCAGAGAGTTTTGATATTATCGTGTGTCATATATAACAGCGTTTCTTAACCTTTTATCCGCGCCACCCTATTTATTTCTAGTTTTACTGCGACCCAATTGAGTATTTTCACTCACTTTGACAAAAGGTGACAGCTGTCATTTTGTGACAGTGCGATGACATATAAACCGACAGCTAAAATTGCATATATATTGTCTTTATAGTATTCATTGTAGTTAATTCTACTATACCAGTGGTCCCCAATCCCCGGTCCGTGGATCAAATG